TGCTTCCATCTGTGATACACTTCCTCTGCCTGAGTAACTTCATATCGCGTCTTCTTCAGCTGAGGATCTTGCCAAAGAGTTTTTTGATTTGTTTTTTAATCTGGAATGTCTGTTTCACCTTCACTCATGGAGAATGTTTGTTTTGGGCAGGGAAGCCTGGCTTGGCAGTTGTGTTCTCTTCACATTAGGAAGATGGAGGTTCATTCTTTCCTGGATTCCATCATTTTATTGCTCCTTGTAAAATGGCATTTCTTTTCTTTGAATGTCTCAGGGATATTTCCCCTGGTCTGTGGTTCCCAGCAGTTCTCCTGTGATTTGTCTACGCCATTCCCTCTGCTCTTATCTGGCTCAAGGATGGCTACGCTTCCTGGCCCTCTTCCCAGGACTCCACAAACACCTTGCTGCTGCTAGTCATTTCCAACATGTCTTCCATCTTTTAAATCGTTGGATTTTATTTTAGGGTTTAGGTTTGTCTCTCTGTTCTTCTGTCTAGATGCTTTCCACTGCCTCATGGTCTGGCTTCCCAGTCTCCTCCTCGATTGTGTCTAATCTGCCATGAAGCCTGTCTGTTAGGGTTTGTCTGTCTTTTCTTCTTCTTTTATTTTTTATTTTGTTTTTGTTTTTGGTTTTACAGCCTTATGCAGGAACAACTGGCATACAAAGATGATTATATTGAAAGGCTACAATTTGGTAGGTTTTGAAATATAGATATAAACCCATGAAACCATTATCACAATCAAGATAATGAGAAAAACCTCTCACCCCACAAACTGGGTATCGAATTTGAGGCTGACTGCCATTCCCCCACTGTGTGGAAGGAACTTTGTGTCTCTGTCTTGCTTCTGCTCTTGGGAAGCCTCCATCAGTGCAAATACCCCTTTGTAGTTAGTGGACCGTAATACAATTGTTTTTTGCTTTAAAGATCTCAGTCTTCTGTGTTTTGTGGTTTCATTGCAATGTGTCTGGATGTGAGTTTATCTGTCTTGTTCTATTATTGCCAGCCCATAACATTTGATTTCCTGTTCTCCTGTGAATCCCGCTAACGACCAGTGGAAGCTTTTCATTCTCTCCCCTGTGCGTCTTCATCTCTCATTTGTTCTCACCTCCTTCCCTCTCTGTGTGGACATTGTGGGCTATTCTGTAGGGGAAATCTTTCAGCTGTGCCGAATCTGTTTCTTTTCCTATTGAAAATCACAGGGAAACTGCTGAAAACCCACAGACCAAGGAAACTACCCCCTTTAGCCATTTAAAGAAAAAAAGAAATTTCAATAGCTGTACACTTCATTTAGAAGCTTTATTTTATTCTTTTAAAACTCTTTGTGTTTTTCATGGTGTCCCATGTTTTCCTTTGATTTTGAACCCTTCTTCTAGAGTTAATAACTTTAAAGATGGTCACTACAGATGAACTCCAGGGCTCATGTCTGGGCACGGGCGGCCTCTGGCAGCTCTGGCTTGTGGGACTGGCTTCCCTGGGTGTTTCGTCACAAGGACTGTAGGATCGTCTTCGGGGGAATTTTGACTGTGGGAATCGCAGGAGGCAGGTGGGAGAGTGCCCCTTCAGAGCAGGTGGCCCTGGTTTTTGGCAGGCAGTCTTGGCTTGTCACCAGCCTGGGACCGTTTCTGTTTGTTTTTCTTTTTACCCTGGTAGTTCCAGCATCACAGAAATAATGTAAATATGGATCCCAGACTGTTTGACGAGCAGGCTCATCTGTGGTCAATTTGTCTCATTTTATTGACAGGTGGGTATCTTTTCCGAGTCTGTTCTTTCTTTCTTGTAAACTTAGAACTTTGTTTTAAATGTTTGCTTTTGTTTTGCTTTGTGTTGTTCAGCATTTCTCGTTGCCTCTGGGTGTCCCTCCGTTTTTCACGTGTTACGCAGGAAAACACCGAGAGGCACCGCCCCTGGTGTAAGTTAGGTACATGTACATTTACATTTAAATTATTTCTCATAGGGAGGAAGTTGTCTTACTCAACATCCATCTTTTGAGTCTTTTGAATAATTCCTCCTTCATTCATTCATTCCTTCATTTACCCATCAATATATATTTATTAATAATTATAGGCTAATTTGCTATTCACGTTTCTCTTTTCTCAATGACGCCCCAGCAGCAATGAGCACAGCTAGTGCCCTGACCTTGGTCTCTAAAGTTCATTCTCCAGTAGAAAAGAGCAGAGCTCCTTGGAGAAGTAATGGATTCCAGGGCTGGGGAAAAGATTCCAGGTCTGGGGGAAAAACCAGGGCAGTCTGGGGTTATGCCAGAAAGTGAGAAGGTGCTCCTGAAGGATGGGAGGGTTCCAGAGGGCCTGCCTGGAAGAGCCCAGCGGCCAGAGCTAGGTAAATTTGAGCAACTAAGTAAATAATGACCGTGTAGGATGATCACCCAAAGCAAAAATTCGCACAAGTTCACATGGAGGCGCACACCTGATTGAATCAATCAGTGAGGGGAGGGGCGGTCCTTCCTCCCGAGGAATTCCAGCAGAGTGGTGAGGAAACAAATCACCTCAGAACACCACGGCAGTAATTGTTGCAGACAAAACCCACCAACAGATGCTAAAATTATCAGAAAAGACTTTGAGGATAAATAGGATACTCTTGTAGTCTCAAAGTATCTTCCCTGAGAGGCCAAGGTGGCAGATTACCTGAGCTCAGGAGTTTGAGAGAAGCATGGGCAACAAGGTGAAACCCTGTCTCTAAAAAAATACAAAACTTACTTGGGTGCAGTGGCACACACCTGGAGTCCCAGCTACTTGGGAGGCTGAGCGAGTGGCTCGCTTGAGCCTGGGAGGTAGAGGTTGCCGTGAGCTGAAATTGCACCACTGCACTCCAGCCTGAGGGACAGAGAGAGACCCTGTTTCAAAATAAGTAAATACAAATCAATAAATTACAAATGAAGAATAGTAATGTTACAGTGGGGGAAACTGGCAGATCCCACCATCACCAGGTGACCAAAACAACTCATAATGAGGTGAAGCATCGGGCCCGTGAGTCGCTGCTGCGGACACTGAGCAGGGCATGGGGCTTCGGCCAGTTTCTTGGCACAGACACATGACTTTGATCCAGACATGATGAAATAACAAACTCGAACTGAGGGCTATTCTTCAAAACACCCAGCCAGTGCTCTTCCGAATGGCAAGGCTGTGGGAGGCAAGGAAAGACGGGACCCGTCATGGGCTGGAGCCTCCCGGGAGATGACACCTGCGTGCTCATGGAACCCAGTGTTGTTTCTAAAGCAGGAGGTGTATGTTACCGGGAACTGGAGGAATCAGAATCAAGCTACAGTGTGGTTAATTGCGCCTGTATTAATTCTTGGCCTCAATCCTTGCGGTCAAGGTCGGGTACGCAAGGTGCTGACATAGGAGGAAGCTGCCTAAAGGGGGCAGGGACTCCTGGACAATCTTGGCAACTCTTCCGTAAGTCTAACATTATTTCAGAAAAAAAAAGTATAGTGACCACAGGTTAAAAAAGAATAAGTGTAAAAAAGCTGAAAAGCAACAGTTAATCCTGTGCGAGAGACAACCACGGTTGCCTGTTTCTGCTCTTGGTGTTTCCGCAAGAAAGAAGCCCCCAGATGCCGTGGTCCCTTTGTAGATGTCAGCACAAGGCTGCGACTCACTCCTGTAATCTAGGAGTTTCTCCCTCCCCTCCCACAGGATAACTTCTACCTCCACTTTGGAAGTTCCGAACGCAGGAGGCCCTTCTCGGAAGCTCAGCTCTGCCTTTGCCTGCCAGGGCTGTTTCTCCCCTCGAGCCTCTGTCTCCACACCTGTGAAACGGGACAATAAGGACCGCTTCGTGGTGCGGAGGGAGGACTAAGTTCATAAATGCACGCAAACTGAGGCGCGGACTGGCCGGCACAGAGAGACCCTGTGATGGCTGTCGGCCACTAAACAGACATTCTCTGTGCTCTTCATGCTCTTGCTTACGAGGAGAGATGCTGTGAACATAAGTTTAAAAACGGCCATGCCATGACAGTTCACAAATAATAGTACTCCCACTGCAAATCCCCTCACCTTCTCCAGTGACATTCGTTTCCTATCACCATCGATTTCTGTTGGCTTTTATGCCACTGTCTCTGAATGAGAATTAGGAAGACTCCGTTGGCTGTTTTCAACTCCATATTTTTCTGTTCTGTAAACTTCTGTCCATTGCCAGGCTTTGTATCTTCCTTCTTTTAAAAGCGAATGTGTTCTTTCTCTTCTTGTTTGGGACCTAGAATTGTGTATCGATGCGTTTTTGGTGATTTCCCAATAACTAGCTGTGATCCTGCTTCACAGGTTAGAGCCACAGAGACCTAACACTTGAGCTCAAACTGTCCGAACCCAAACTGCACTCCTCGGAGAAAACGAAAGCAGCCTGGATTCTGCTGCTGAGAGTGCCTGGCCGTCCTGGCGGTCACCGGCTCACTGGGGCCTGGCCGTCCTGGCGGTCACCGGCTCACTGGGGCCTGGCCGTCCTGGCTGTCACCGGCTCACTGGGGTCTGGCCGTCCTGGCAGCTCCTCAGGTCGCCACGGTCTGGGCATGCTGGTGCTGCCTGTGCCTGGTGGGACCCCCGGTTCCCGGCACTGTCTGGGCCTCGTTCGAAGAGATGACTCCTCCTCACTGCTGGTCACCAGACCTGGGCCCTCGGCCACTCATGGCGTGGCTGCGATTTCAGGTCTCAGGGGACTGTCACCCCCTTCCTCCTGTTCAGTTTCAGCATGAAGTCTCTAAATCAACAACAGAGAAGGAGAGAGGAAAAAGGACAAAAAAACTTAAATCAACAACAGAGAAGGAGAGAGGAAAAAGGACAAAAAAACTCCCCCATAATGGCCATTTTCAGAGCAGCTGCAGAACCAGGTGGCACAGCTGACCGAGGCAGCATTGCAGATGCATTTGTGTCCCTGCAGATCTGAGGCACAAGGACCCATTTCCGTGCTCGGGGGGCCTCTACGGGGGGTGCAGGCTTTGGGGGCAGAGCAGAGGGGTGTAGGATTCTGGGGAGGCCACAACCACCGAAGGAAGGACCTTGCTCTCTCACGAGGCCGAATCCTCCCCGAGGTGGTTGCCGTCTCCCTGGGACCTACGTTCTGCCCCCTGGGAGGTAGGGAGTTGGATCTTGTACAACGATGAATGCGTGGACATGTGTAGATGCCGTCTGCTTCCCAGAGTCCCCAGCCGGGCTCCCCAGGACTCTGCGGGACCCTCTTCAGTGCGCCTGTGCTGTTTGCTTTCAGGTGGCTGCAAGCAAGTCCCTCTTCTCAGCCAGGCAGGAGGGAGCAGAAGAAGGGCCTGTGTGTCTCCTCAGTTTCAAAGGAACTCCCCCGGCCGAGTGTACTCTTGAACTAAAGCTTGAGCGAATCAGAAACATCTGGGCTATTTTTTCTGTGCTTAAAAACAGGAAACGGACCCATCCAAAGCCGTTTGGGGTCTTCTCAAGGGGTCATTTAAGATGAAGAGCAATTTGAGATCGCCCGTCTGTTGGAGAACTGCACGTGCTGAGAGGGTAAGAAACCGCAGCCCTCACAGCCACGGTCTTCACGTGGTCACTGCATGCGAGGATTTGCCGTTATCTGTTGCTTCCGAAAGCAAGGGTGAGGGGAGCGGAACTGGGTGTTGTCCGGTCCTGCGGTCAGAACAGGCACTGGGGAGGGAGTCCTGCAGGGAGGTGGGGGCCAGGCCTTGTTTCTGTGACAGTGAACGTCCCTGTCCATGTCGGTATTTCTCAGACAGGCCACCTCCTTCCACTCCTGCGGTGGTGCAAGGGGAGGCTTTAGTCCAGGATAACAAATTCTGAACCAGCTGCCGCATCTGGAGCCCCTGAGGGCTTATGCACTGGTGCCCAGGGAGTTTCCTGGCTTATCACATCCGAGGCCGACTTTCGGGCTGCAGAGGGGTGTCTGAGCCACTGAAGTGGATGGAGGAACTGCTTCTCTGCCGGCCGCTGTGTTGAGGTGAGAGGGAGAGCAGGTCCTTCTGCTTCTGAAGCATGAAACTACCCCACACCTGCGGCAGGGCGTGCAATGCCACCGTGGCCTGGAAAACCCATGAGTGACAAGTGCTGGGCACAGGCCAGGTCTGGGGCTGTCACGGGCAGAGCTGCGGCCCAGCATGCAGGTGGGAAGGAGGTCTCAGGTAACTCTCAGCATTCGCATGATTCTGTCCTCTGCGGACTGGGGCAGGTGCTTCCTCTACCTCCCAGTGGCCTCCCTAATTCCAGAAGAGTAAGAACAGGGGAGGGGAATCCGGTGCAGGGGCTCCCACCTGCTCCCTCCAGGCCAGAGGTGCTGCCTCGGTCCTTCACTTCCAGCCAGGCCATGCCTAGCAGGCCTCCGTCCAGTCTAAGCATGGCAGCGCTTGGCCTGGGACCCGGCTGGAGTAAGCGTCCCCCTGAATTCCCTCTTTCATTTAAACTCTAGAATTGGGCGCTACTCTGTGCCAGGTGGCGGGGATAGACCCCACTGCCCAGCTGATGCTGTCTGGCCCTGGGGATGCCTGGCCAGGTTCATGCTGTGTCCACCTCGCTCCATCCACACCCCTCCATCACACTTCACCCGGGGCCTGGGCCAGAGATGCATCCGAGATCCCTTCTGGGAACAATGGCCTCAAAGAATGGGGAGCAGCGAGGGCTGCTGGACGCCAAGTCCTTCTGGATCTTTCTGGCCAGGCTCCTCCCCGGCATCTGGGCTCAGTGGGGGATGGTCTGCCCCTGCATTCCCACAGACCTTGGCCCCTGGCAGGGCCCCCAGTTCCCACCTGCCCTATTTCCCGCCTAGTGTAACTATGCTGTAGAAATATATTTTGGCCATGCCCTGCATGAAGGTTCCAGTCTCTGTGTCTGTGGGAAGGGCTAACCTGCAGCAAGAAGTGGTCCCTGGGATGGAGAGATCTGGACACAGTAGAGGTTTGTGTCCTGCTCATGGAATGGCTGTCAGGTGAGCCTGGCTTCTTGGCACTCATGCCCTTGTGGTTTCTTCTTCATCATCCCAGGTGAGTCTGCGCGGCCAACAGCATGTGGTAGAGTGCTGGTAGGTCACTTCCGAAACTGGGCTGGACATGCCAGGTCTCCCTCCTGGTTGCTCTCTGTCTCCTGGGTCTTGGGCTTGGGCAAAGCCAGCAGCCATGTCATGGGAACTCAGGTGATGTGAGATCAGAGCCATCTCCCCAGGTGCACAGGACTCCAGACAACAGCCTGCAAGGACCAAAGCCTGCTAGTAGCTGCGCAGGACCCTCCAAGGGTCTCCTGGGGCCGTGGAGCCCTCGAACGGCAGCAGACTCTGGGGGCCTTGGGAGGAGTGGCTGCGTTTTGCTGGGAGAATCACAGAATCACTGGGGCCTGAGAGCCTGGGACAGCCCCAGACAAGGAGGTCCTCAAAGCTGTGCGTTGTCCTCCCATGCTGGGCCAGGTGTGTCCATGTGGCCAGAGCGCACAGTGGATGCCGCTCCTGAGTCCAGGGCCTGAAGGACCCTCTGGGTCACTCTCTCTGCCTTGGGTCACTCATCCTAAAGGAAGCCAGCCACTGTGTGCAGGGCCCTGCGTGGAGAGGCCCTCATGGTGAGGAGATGTCCGGCCCACAGCCACAAGGAGCTGTGACCTGCCAGCGCTGGGGGTGAGCTTGGACCTGCCCCTCCAGCCCTGTGGAGGCTTCAGAGGCCATGGCCCAGGACAGCTGCGCCAGACTCACTTAGCCAAGCCCTTCAGAAACCCTGAGGGAGGGAACACTCAGCAGCAGCTTGGGAGGCGCTCACTGAGTTTGGGAGGTTTTTTTTTTTTGAGACGGAGTCTTGCTCTGTCTCCTAGGCTGGAGTGCAGTGGCGCGATCTCGGCTCACTGCAAGCTCCGCCCCCCGGGTTCACGCCATTCTCCTGCCTCAGCCTCCCATGTAGCTCCCAACCCGCCACTACACCTGGCTACTTTTTTTTGTATTTTTAGTAGAGACGGGGTTTCACCATGTTAGCCAGGATGGTCTTGATCTCCTGACCTCGTGATCTGCCCGTCTTGGCCTCCCGAAGTGCTAGGATTATAGGTGTGAGCCACCGCGCCTGGCCTGGGAGGCATTTTTATGCGGCAGTGGACCACTAGGAAGGACATCCTTCACTCAGACCCACTGTGGCAGAGGTGTCCACGGTCTCTGGGGCTATCTCCCCACCAGCTGGCCCAAAGATCCCAGAGGGACACTCGGGAAGACTCTTTTGCCTTGTCAGGAGGGGCTCACCTCCCATCCTCTCGCTTCTCTGGAAGGAAAGTGGCCTCATGGCCATGCCCGTGTATGGCGGCTGCTGAGGAGAGCAACCTGGCTGGGTTCCAGAGGACAAAGCAGGTCAAGAAAGAGACGGAGAAGGGGGAGCAGCTTGGCAAGTGGCCCCACGGTGGGCCCCCGGGGATCCTCCTGGAAGCTGCAGCAGCCGTGCCACCATGGAGGGCACCTTGTCCTCACCAGATCCTGTGGCCTTCCTGGAGGGTAGAGTGTGTGCTGGCACCAAGGCCATGGAAAGGCCAGCCTCAGTGGGGGGTGTGGATACCCACCTGGAGGGGCCTTTGAGGCTGCCTTTCCAGCAGGTGGTGACTAGGCAGGGATGGATCAACGAGCAGGGGCAGCCCTGGGCATCCCGGCACCTGGGAGAGAAGGCCCGGCAGGCCCCTGTGTCCCCACAGAGCAGAATGAGCTCCTGGAAGCGAGTGGCACCTGGGTGTGTATTTAGGGTCTCACTGGAGGCATGCTGAGTGTTCATGCCCCTCAGGGCCCTCTGTTTGGTGAACCCATTGGGATGAACTGTGCGAGGAAATACTTTCCAGTCCCTGGGGAGTGTTGAAGCAAGTCAGCCGCTTCCCGCCACCAAGGCCCAGAGCCCCATCCCCACACACGGGGAGAGAAGCTTTCAGCAGAGGAAGTAACAGCAGAAAGGAAACAGGATGGACGGAGGGCTTGCCTGGGACTCCTGGGGAATTGCGTTTCTCCTGTGTTCTCTGTGCATCTTCGTAAGCACTGAAAACCTCAGTGTGGAGCCTGAAAGGGGCATCAGGCCTCCTGGGAGCTCCTCACTGTGCAGCCCCAACAGCTGAGGAAACAAGAGTCTGACCCAGGGTCCCTCCACAGCTGGGAGACCACATGTGGGGGCAGAGCCGGCGTGAGGAGGTCTCCAGGGGGAACAGCCACGGGCACCCAGACTGGCTCAGGACCGAACAGCTGCCCCTGTGGCCCGGTCTTCTCCAGCCCCGGCCCACCTCTGTCACTGGTTCTCAGTGTGGTCCAATTAACAAGAGGATGATGAATGCAGGGAGGGAAGGAGCCAGCCTGTGAGGACCTTTAGCCCCGACCTGATTCTCAAAGAGGCTTCCAAGTTTTCTTTGAGTGACACCTGGGTCATGGACTCCTTCCTCAGCACCCTGCTTTCGAAAGGGAACCTATGCAGGTCTTGTCCTTATTGAGGGGGAAGGTTAGGAGAACCTTCTTCATTCTTAATCCTCACCCTCATCCTTCATGCGTATCCTCATCTGGGTCCTCGACCTCCATCCTTATCCTCATTCTAAACCCCATCCTCATCTTCATCCTCCATACCCATACTCATCCTTCATACTTTATCTTCATCCTCATCCTTCATCCTCATCTTCATTCTTCATCCTCACCCTCATCCTTCATGCTCATCCTCATCCACATCCTCGACCTTCATCCTCATCCTCCATCCTCATCCCTCTGTCATGTCCTCATTCTCAACCCCATTCGGATCCTCATCTATTCATCCTCATCTTCATTCTTCATCCTCATCCTTCATCCTCATCTTCATTCTTCATCCTCACCCTCATCCTTCATTCGAATCCTCATCCACATCCTCGACCTTCATCCTCATCCTCATCCTTCACATCAGAGGACGGTTTCTGCGTTCACAGGCACATGTATATCAGTAACTTCTTCCTGACACTCACCGGCTTCTCTGACAAGACAGACTTCGGGCGTCCATTGCATTGGTTCCTGGTGGAGGTGTGTGTGTTCACGAAACACATCTGAGTTACGGGCCCACACTCTTATCTCGGGGATGCAAGTGTTGAGTCAGGGAGGGTTCTCCACACTCACATGTCTGTTACCCCAAATGATTACAAGACGCCCTCAGGGTGGGCGTTGCCCCCTCCAGTTCTGTGACCTCCAGCCCTCTGCCTTGCCTCTGGCTACACCAGGTGGAATGGCTGTATCTGCGGGCCCAGGCAGTGCAGGGTGGGGCTCCTGTGAGCCCGGCAGGTACTCCATGCCCCCAGAGAGGCTCCTGAGGCCTGCACTTGCTGTCTCCAGCAAGGGTGCTGGAGCCGCACTGAAACTTGGCTAACACAGCAGGGTGGGGCCTGGGAGCTGGCTGCCCTCCAGTTCTTCAACAAGTCCTTCAGGAACCTAGAGTGCCCACCTCGTATTGTGGGCGGTGCTGGGCAGGCAGTCACCAGGTAACGGGTGTGGGTGCGTGGAGCAAATGGTGGCTGTGGGCGCCGCGTGAGTGACAGGCACAGGGGCTCCGGGCCTGCAGGACCCGCCCAGCGCTGAACACCTGGAGTCCCGCCTCCATCTGCTGAAGTTTTAAGTAATAACGATATGAATATTTTTGTTTCACATGTAAAATGATACCTATTAAAGATATAATGTTTATTATCATTACAAAATGGAAAGAATAAGAACTGCTTTTCAGGATGGCTTCGAGGGGCCCAGCAGGGAGCTTCGTCCTGTGCAGCACCTCCAGGGAACCTGCGGCTGGAGCTTGCCTGGAAACGCTGAGGTCAGCTGGAGTTCACCATCAGAGGATCTGGGGCTGGACTTTACGTCCTTGTCTGTACCCTGAAGCTGGGCTCCTGTGACCCAGAGCTGCTGGCAGAAGTGGGTCCTGGGACCCTAAGGACTGTGAGCGTTCTAAGGATCTGGAAGGATGGACAGCCCCATGCAGCCGTGCCCTCCCACCTGGCAGGAAGCTTTTGTGCCTGTAGCCCACGCGGTGGGTGTGGCCCTGCTGCCAGAGGGAGTGCCCTGTCTCACTGGCCTGACAGGTCCTGATGCCGGGTGGCATCTTGCAGAGCCTGGGGTAGTTCTGGGGAGTGGTGTCTGCAGGAGACGAGCTGCCCACCATGGCCCAGAGAGGAGAAGGGAACAGCAGATTACCTCCACGGAAAAAGAGGAGGCAAAGGCAGAGAAATGGTACGTGGGCTCTGAAGCTCCAGCCAGGTGGGTTGGAAGTTCTCACCTCCTGACCTCCTAGGTTTGTTCCTAGGAGTGGAACCTAAGGAGTTAATTAGAATTGTTACAGCATTGCACACATTTTTAATAGGAAGATACAAAGTGGTGTCAAAAGCCCACTGAGAAGACAGCTGGAGCTTGACCACCCCACCCCACCCCACCCCACCTCCCACGCAGAGCCAGGCGCTAGGGTGGAGGCTCCAGTTCTCAGTCCCGGCACCCCTGGGCCCTCCATCATCACATGGGTGACATGGGAGGAGGTGGCCAAGGTGAGAAGCCCAGCCCGTGTGGCCACCGTGAGTTGTGGGTGGGGAGGAGGCCTCTGCAGGAGCGGCAGGGCAAGGGCGGGCAGCAGCAGAGCTGCAGCCCCGGGGGTGGCATGAAGCAAAGCAGGAAAATCATATGATTCAGTAGCTTTAAAAATAACAGCATTTGCAGGGCAAAACAGGGTGGCACAGGTTTAAAAGAAACCACCTGTCTGTTCTGATGGCAAAGCCTGAGGGAAGCCAGTGGTCCAAGCAGATGGAGGTGTCCGGGTCTGGGCAGGAACATGTCTGCCACCTGCAGTCTGGGCTCAGGTGAATCAGAGAAGAGGAATCCTGGGGCAGGATGTGCCGGGGATGCCCCTGTGTGGCTCTGGGTCCAGGCCTGCTGAGAAGGGGATTGCCAGGGGCTGGGGCGGTTGCCTGGACTCCCTGAGAACCCTGCAGCCTGGCAGACCTGGGTGCTCACACCAGGTGGGGTGGGGTGGGCACACCAGGTGGGTACACACCCAGGGGGGAGGGCACACTGGGCAGGGCAGGCACACCGGGCAGGGGGCACTCACCAGGCAGGGGGCACTCACTGGGCAGGACGGACACACTGGGTGGGGTGAGCACACCAGGCCGGGTGCGCATGAGACAGCAGCCACTCCAGAGAAGCGCAAAGCCTTTAGGATCTCAGTGTGATCTCACATGTGGGTTCACGAGTCCTGTCCCATCCTGGTCATAGTGTCCAGAAAAACAGGACGGTGTGTAAGTGACTCTGTTGCTTTTGTGAGGACAAGAGAGCTTCAGGGGGTGAGAAGGGAATGGTGGGTGGCGTGGCACGGGAGATGGGTTAGCAGAGGGGTGTCCGACATGGGCAGCAGGCCGGAGAGCCCCGGCGGTCACCTCCATCGGGAGACACATGCACACCTTTCCCCGCCTGCAGTCCTGGGCTCTCTCTGTGGCATTGGAGTGTGAGGGAAAAGCTGTCTCTGAAGCCCCCGGCTGGCCTGGTGACTTGGCCCCGCTGACCACTGAGGCCGTGGTGCCTCAAGCCTTGGCCGTCGCCTTCAATTTGGGCCCAGCTGGCAGTGCTCTGACTTGGCCACAAGTCTCAGATATTCGATGCCTCACATTGCCAACATGGAGCCATTTCCCACATGGGGAAACTGAGGCACGAGGGCACCCGGGCATCGGGGCGCCTTGTGACCCAAGTCCCCGTAGCGGTTTGAGGTCTACGGTCAACTCTGTCCTAGCCCCATGGAGGGGGAGTGGCCACTTGGGCTTTGGCAAGGGTGCTCATCTGGAAAGAGGCTTTCCTGCTGTGTGTGAGGTCAGAGGGACTTGGGGTCCGATGGGGCCTTGTCATGTTGGGGGCAGGGCTGGGGGTGGGGAGCCGAGCTTGGCCCTCAGCAAAATGCCCAGAGATTTGTCAAGTGCAAGCGCTGGCGTTCTCTGTCCCTAACGCTTATGTTATTTGAGTAGAAGTCCAATCACATCGCTTCCCCAGGTGTGAATCACTGCCTGCTTGGCAGGGACCGCAGCCTTGGTTTGGCCTTTGGACACTGCACGCAGGTGTCGTGGTCCTCCTGGCTTTGGGAATGTGGTGTCCAGCTTACGGCTTAGGGTCCCGCTGCCGGGGAGCACAGAACACAGCCGCCCACATGTGGATTCACTGGACAGAGTGCTCCGTTTCCCATTCACACTGCTTTTTGTCCCCCTAGACAGCAACGCCACGGGCTCCCAGCACTGCGTCCTCCCCAAGGCGTGGCGAGGCCCAGCTGGGTTGCCAGGCATCTGCACGGCCCTAGTCCTGAACCAAACCACAGCCGCAGAGCTGAGCACGTACCTGCATCTGTCTGGTTTGTTTCCCAGGAGTTTGGCTCCAGATTAAAGAACCGTGTGATGCCACACTTTGCTTTTCGGGTACACACTTCTGCACACTGCGTGTCTGGTGGAGGACAGGGTCCTGTGAGTTTCCAGCAAAACCGCCCTCCGTGGAAACGCAAGTGGAAAATGCTTTCTTGAGAAAGTTGCAGTCAATGACAAAATGGCCTTTCCCCAAGTGCCATAGTGTCTTGCTGAGACCCTGTGCCAATGTGGGGAGGTGTGGACCTTAGACCCGAGTGCTGCAGTCTCTTGCTGAGACCCTGTGCCAGTGTGGGTGTCCTCAGGGCTGAGCAGGGACCCTGTGGCTGGAACTTAGTCACCCTTCGAGCCAGACAGCCTGCGAGGGAGACTCCTGGTGGTCACCACAGCAGGTGACAGCCGTGCGCCAGTTCTCAGCCCCGTCCACACCTCATGGTGTTAGGCACAAACCCTTCATCCTGCTCCAAACAGAATGAGAATGTCATGTCGCAGTCTTGCCTAGAAAGCTCACCAGAGAAGGAGGGTAGAAGGAAGCCCCCGAAAAGTCACAATAAGACGACCCTGTGTGAGCAGCCTCCGCCCCACTGATTTGACGTCTGAAATGGCTTCCACACTGGATTTCCTGCTTCCCCACACCCTAGGTTCTGGCTTAGGGCCAAAGCCATTCTAGCCAGAGCTGTGGGTCCTTCCCATGAGCAGGCCTTGCTTCCTGCTTCCTGCACTTCAGAGATGGGCGCCAACCACACAGGGCAGGGGACATGCTGGGTGCCCTAAAGAGGAGTGGGTGGAATGGCCCAGAAATACCCCAAATAAGTAAAGCTGGGCATCGGTGGTGAGGATGGCAGAGGGGCCAATGAGCCACTGCTGAATGCAACCCAGGCTGGACAGCGGCTTGAGGGGACCGGGTGGGCAGGGATGGGGGACACAGAGGAGGCCACAGTGCTCAGGAAATGAAGCCAGCATGACCTGACGTCACCCCTTGGCCAGGCTGCACCCGGCCCCGAGCCACATCCCCTGCGAGGTCAGACCAGAACCCAAACAGTTGTTTGATATTAAAACTAAGCCTGTGTTTGTAACAGGAAACCAGTCCCAGCGAGGCTGGGGTGAGTCGGATTAAACTGCGGTGTGCGCCACAGAAAACCTCAAAGGAATGAGGGCACGATCCAGAGATGCTCCCTGCTCGGAACAGGAGCTCTGGGCCGGGGTGCACAGGCAATCCCGGGGCGTCCAGAGGAGGCGCCACACTTAAATCAACCCTGGCGGGGGGACAGTGGATGGAGACCTCAGCCTTTGAGACTGACCCGAGGTCAGTCCCAGGGCACAGATCCATGGGGCTGCCCTGAGCCAGCTCTGAGGGTTGGACGGGCTTCCCCTGTTGTCTGGGGACCCTGACGAACACCACAGTCATAAAGCACCGTTCATTTTCCTTTCAGGTCTTTTAACTAAAATGCCACAAAAAAGGGGACTGCCGCCGAGTCCCAGGCTAAGTGTGCTGCACAGCCCCGACCGGGCCTCTGCTTGGCCCAGATAACTGGAAAACATTCCAGGAATCTCAGTGTTGCGGGTTTGTTTTCTCTTGGCTTTGCGAGAGTTTAAGGAATGTGTAATTATTTATGAAATGCCAGCGTCCTGGCTGTGGAAACGCCGACTGAAGAGAGAACCAGGCAGATGCAGGGCCGTTCTTGGCTGGAGCTTTGAGCCCCACTGACTTTCCCCGCCACGATGCTGGGAATTTCTGCCCCGCTCATGGGCAAGGTGGAGCAGGACCTGAACAGACTGTAAAGGGAGGTGGAAGTGAGATCTGTGTGCGTTTTCAGAATTCAAGCAGGGTGAGTGGGTTTCCTCCCTTCACATCCACCCCCAACCCTGAAGAGTCTTTTGGGGAGTGCCAATGTCCCCGCAGGGAGCCCACCTCCCCCTGCCCCTTCCGAGGTCCTGAGAACCATTCTGGAGGGTCTTCAGCCCCCAGCCCCGCTGGGCTTCAGCTGCTGTGGAACTGCAAGGTGGGGTGGAGTCGCCCTCAGAGGGTACCAGGTCTTCACGGGTGAGTTGAAGACCCCATGGACGCCTCGTGTCAGAGCCCTGGGAAGGGGTCTCTGAGGTTCAAGATCTCGGTGCAGCTGCCGTCCTTTCTGGAACATCTCCTGGGTACTTGGCGAGAGAGCAGAGGTCAGTCAGAGACGCCTTGGCCAGCACCAGCCCCTCACTCTCCGGCTATGCGGTAGCCCCTTCTGGTCCCCGGCTGTCACCTCCACTTGGGGCCCAGCTGGCACTGCCCTGAGTCCCAGGTCTCCAGCCCAGATCATCGAGATGGACATATTTTCCAGATGAGGAAGCCGGGGTGCAGAACCGAGCAGGATGCACAAGGGGCTTTGTAAACAGTGCCTTCCAGGCGGGCTCAGCAGCGAACACACAGACAGACCTGCCTTCCTGGAGCTGGCGCTAGCACAGTCAAGGAGAAAAGCACGTGGCCACCTTTGCAAACGCAGAACAACATCTGGGAACATTCAACAACCATTCATGAAAAGGTTCTCAGCAGGCTAAGAATAGAAAGGAATTTCCTTCACTGGATAAAGGGTTTTTTAAAAACCTTCAGCAAATACAGTACGGCGCTAAATGGCGAGACAGAGAAACTGTCCCCCTCAGACCAGAACACAGTAGGCAGGCCTTCTAACAACACTTCCGTTCAGCATTCTAAGAGAGGTTACGGCTGTCATTCATAGGAGACCGAGAGACAGAGACAGGGTCAGACAGACAGAGAGAGAGACATAGGGAAACAGAGACAGAAATACAGAGAGAAACAGAGAGACACAGAGAAACAGACAGAGAAAGACAGAAACAGAGAGAAACAGAGAGAGAGACATAGGGAAAGAGAGACAGAGATGGAGAGAGACAAGGCATTTGCAGGGAGATAATGAAACAATATCTGGACTAAAAGAGAAATGTTCTTCACAA